CTCTCCGGTGCGATGGCGCCACCGCGCGGCGGCGGCGGGGAGCAGCGGGGCGGGGAGCGACCACCGGCCCGGGGGTAGCCCCGGGGAGACGAGAGGCCACCGGCCCGGGGTAGCCCCGGGGAGACGAGAGGCCACCGGCCCGGGGTAGCCCCGGGGCAAGCGGGGCTGCGGGTGCGGGCAAGGGGCTCAGCCCCAGGGCGAGCGGCCCCGGGGGCAGCCTGGCCACCTGCATCAGCCTTGAGCCCGCAACGTGCACCGGTAGCCTGGAGAGCCAGCCTGGGCTGCACGGAAAGCAGCCTGCTCTGGGGCCCCCAACATGAGAAGAACGCGGAGCTCTTGGAGCAAGTCCAGAGTAGGGCCACGAAGATGATGAGAGGGCTGGAGCACCTCTCCTGTGAGGACAAGCTGGGAGAGTTGGGGTTGTTCAGCCTGAAGAGAAGGCTCTGGGGAGACCTTATAGCCCCGTCAGTACCTTAATGGGACCACAGGAAAGGTGGGAAGGGACTCTTTATCAGGGAGCATAGGGATAGGATGAGGGATAACAGTTTCAGGCTGAAAGAGATTAGATATTAGAAAGAAATTCTTTACTATGAGGGTGGTGAGACTTCTCTGGGCATGGGTTACCTAGAGAAGCTGTGGATGCCCCATCCCTGGAGGGGTTCAAGGCCAGAGGCTGGATGGGGCTTTGAGCAACCTGGTCTGGTGGAGGTGTCCCTGACTATGGCAGGGGGGTTGTAACTAGATGATCTTTAAGGTCATTTCCAATCCAAACCATTCTATGATCACCCCCGCATCTCTGCCTGCTCTGCAGAGGCTTTACCTCCCTCCTTTCCTTCAGCCGGTTGCAGCCAGCAGCACCACACTGAGGGGGAAACCGAGTCAAGGTGAAGGATTTTTATTTTTTGTCCAAGGAAGAGGTCATGGGCAGCAGCACCAGCTTGTACAGCCTCCATGGTTCTTTAAAGAAGCCCCCGAGGAGGGAGCCAGCCATGAAAACCTTCACCGCCCCACAGCCGTGTGGGGCAGCACCTGCAGCCCCTCCAGCTCATGCAGCTGCCAGTGAGACTCACATGGCTCCTGCCCTCGGACAGGGGTACCGAGAAGTTTTGCACGTTCTCTGTCTCACAAGTGTTTCCTCTCCCTTTGTTTCCCACTGAAAACACTCCCTACAGCTCTCAGCCAGCGTGCCACTGGCCCCCCACTGCCCATCACAGCCACCACCCTTGAGCCAAACCCATCCTCACAAGACTCTTTTCAACCAGTTACATCAGAATAAAACTATTTGCTTTCATTTAAATCCTTTTTTACTTATCCTAGGGTGTGCAGCGTAGGAGGCCCAGCAATAATTTCAACTTCAGCAGCCCCCTTCCATGCTTCTTGGGTGGAGGAGAGCCGTGCTCCACAGGGATTCCCACCTCCTTCAGCCCAGCCTCAGGGCTGAGGCTTCCAGGCACCTTTTGGGCTTTACCCTTCTTCACCAGCATGAACAAGAGGAGCCCAAGCCCTTGTGGTCAGGTTGCAGCTGTAATACAGCAACCACAGGAATTCTCAGCTTTATTTAGAAAAAAAACCCAGGTTTTATGAGCTGTGGAGACCAGCTGTGATGTTGTGCTAAGTCCCGGGGTGGGGGGGCAAGGGGGCAGAGACACCTCCCAGGGCTTCAGGCCAAAGCCACTGTGTGCAGGTCAAAGTGCCCGAGGAAAGGTAAAGGCTGTGTCACAACCCAGCCTGGGGGATTTACAACTGCCCGGTCGAGTGAGTCGATGACAAAGCTACAAGAGAATGCTTTGAGGGCTTGTTCCCTGCCAGCAGCGCACAAGCAGCAGCCAAAAACGAGCAGCAAACAGGGTCTGTCCCAGGCGGGTGGCACAGCCAGCCCCAAATCTGCACTCGGGCCTGGGCTGAGCAGCTTTTTACCCTTTCCCCATCACCAGAGAACACTCAATTTTGAAACAAAATGTGGTTTTTTTGAAGACAAGTCAAAATCATGCATTTTCAAATTGTCCAAAAGAGCATTTTGGCTTGAAGTTTGGGTTTTTTAGGCTTCTCAGTTGATGCTGCACTGAATTCTGCGTAGTTTTGCAAATATTTTCTCTGCGTAAACCAAATAATTTTGTTGACAGACTTTTGTCTGGTCTATGGTCATGACCTACCGGTGGTACAGGAGCAGCTCGCGTGGACGCATCCTTTCAGCACCTTTCCCCTTTGTACCACTCTGCTCTGGCAGCTCTTTGCACCATTTTTAAGAGGCTCTCAGATGTATTTCAGATGTGGAGAACCGGGACATGACTTCAGAGGGCCTGAACTTTACATGCAGGTGTCTTGGACTTGCTAGTAGAAACAGGGCTTAAAACTAACGAAGATGGTGTTTGAAGTCAAGGAAAGAGTTGCCATTCTTTGCATCGCACCCATCTTTAAGCAAAGCAATCACTTCTCCCCCAGCTCTGGAGGCTTTCAAGAGCCCCAGCAAACCTGCCCCTAGAACAATTATCTTCTGCTAACACCAAACCCACCTGTGTTCTCTTCCAGCCCCTTCCACCACAGAGGCTGCCAAGCTGGAATGTCCTCCAGGGAACTGGTTTTGCCTAGTGATAGTGAATGGTAGTAGATAATGGGAATATTATTAATAATGGGAATAATGGGAAGATTATTAATGCAAATTCTGCTGAACCCCACTGACCCTCACCAGCTGCAGGGCTGGGGTGGTTACACTGGTGCTGTCTGGTATGAGAGCACCGATAGGAGCCCCAAAGCTGCCCACCAAAGATTTTGGCCTCACTTATACTTAAAAAAATCCAACTTGCTAGCACAGCAGTGCGAGATAGAGGGGGTTGCATTTTATCTAACTGCTGCAACTGGAAAAACACACCAAAAAAAAAGGTTTTTCATCTGGTAACTTCTTTTGGTGCATAATTTATACCTGCAAAAAGCAGTCTTTCCACAGCCCGGAGCAACTGTCCTAGATGAGAAGGTCTGCAGAGCTCTAGCAGGCACATGTGCATCTGCACAGTTACAATAACTAATCTCTCGTAAGAGTCTTAGAAGAAATTATGATAGATGTAGTGAGCAACTGTTTTCATCAGTGGAGTGATTTAGATGAATGATTTTCAGGCTGTTTCCTCCCACCTTTCTGCTAAATGGACTCTTCTCTGCCTCAATTAAGGAAAGGCTAGCACTCTAGGAAGCAGTGGCAAGGATAAAAAATGAAGGTAGAGGTATCAATAAGACCTTTTTAATTACACTTTACCGGAACCTCTGACGTAAATCATACTGAAATAAAAAACATCCCCAGTGTGTTAGAAGAATTTAGGCTCATTTGATTGTGCAAGGACCTTGAATGCGAGCACGAGAGAATGCAGCTGAAATATGGTCAGAAACCAGAGGGCTCCGGTACCCAAACCACACCAGGAGGGGCATGGAGCTGTACACAAACAGGAAGACCAAGCAGAATGCGATCAGTGCTAAATATTCAAGCGCCATAAATGTTTTTCAAACAATCCTTTTGTAAAAATGTAATAGCTTTGCTAACGGTGAGGCTTAGAGGTTCAGTGCCTGGGACCCTCCTGCTGTCCTGCTCGCACCCACGGCAGTGGCCACGTGCAGAGGATGGCCCGTCCCTCGCTGAGTGTGGGACTCCTCCAGTGTCTAGAAACACCCCCTTTCCCCGCTCCACCTACCAAAGCACTCAGCTTAGTAAGAGTTAATCCAGGTATGCTATACTAAATGAAAGCTTGCATAATTGAAAAATAGCTGAGGCATTAATCTTCCTTCTCGGTACCTTGAGTCCTCTTTAAAAAGATTATTTTGCCTTCAGAGACAGCTTTAATGCTACTTAATGAATCGCTTATAAATGAAGGATTCTCCCCCCCCTACACAGGGACAGGCTGACTACTACACTGATTTTGTCAAAGAGACAATTAACTTTTGTCAAATACACAAGATAATGGCTGTTCTCCACAATTCTACTACACTGAATTCAGCATATTTAAGGCAAATTTGTCTTGTCATTTTGACTGAGCTGACAGTGACATATCCATTCCCTTTAGCTGGACCTGGGGAACTCTTCACGCTTACCGGAATAATTAGCGGCTTCCCCAGGAACAGGTAGGTTAGTGCTGGATAAGGAATACCAGGCTCAGAAATTCAAAATCCCAACACGAGCTCATTCAAAGGCGGTTTGGTGTCTAGCTTCAAAGAAGGAAAGAGACGTGAGAAGGAAGGAGAAACGTAGAAACCTGGGGCACTGGGAAACCTTCCCCTGAACTTCTACACTGAGTATCTCAGTGGCAGGCAGGTTGCAGGCAAGTTTTCTTCGAACTGCAACTCCCACCCAGCAAAAGCAGGCACCCTGGGGTGGGTTAGCTGTTTCGTGGCTGTAAATAACTCCCAGCGAGCTGCAAAGGCAATTTTGTAGCATGAAGTCGTCCCCAACAGGGAGATCCCCAAGCAGAAATGCTCAGTTGTCTCCCTTTTCTTGTGTCCCACCCAGCGCCTGCC